AGGTTAAAAAACCCGGCGGAGGTCGTGGAATTTTTAAGGGCGGAAAAATTCAGGGAACAAGTCCTCCGGGAGGGACTTTAAGCCGTGGGTCCCGTGTCGTAGATTTACGGCACGTAAAAGAACCTCAAGTCTCTAGGAGACCTCTGAGCAAAATTAGGCCAAGTTTCCCGCCCAACTAGTTTCCAATTCCTCTGGTAGATGGGGAAGTATCAGGTACCACTGCCAGAGGAGGGGGGACCTCTCTGACAGAAAGGGACTAAAGTATTAGATACCACTGCCAAGTAGAGGGTAGAAACCTTGCTGGCAGAAAGGGACTAGGAACCCCTGCCAGAGAAGGGACGACCTCGCTCACAGAAAGGGACTAACTATTAGATACCATTGCCAGTAAGAGGTTGGAACCTCGCTGGCAGAAAGGGGCTGATAGTAAGCACCAGTACCGGTAGGGTATGGAGACAGTAGAAATTAAAGGGGGACGCACAATGGACCAGTAACCGGTCTAAGAGCATGGGGAAACCCACCCCCTCAATACGGAATACGGAATATATTCAACGTGTTTTCTTCTGTAAGTGTTGTGGTTTTCCAGATAATTGACTGGAAGGGAAGCCTATTTGATAGGCTGGTCTTCCGAAACCACATGAGGATACTGGACTCTGTCTTTCTCGATAGTAATTAAACAAATTTAAGGTATATCTCTGTGTGTGTGTGTGCGTGCGCGTGCGAGTGTGCGTGTGCGTGTGCGTGCGTGTGTATGTGCGCGCGCGCTATCAGTTTTATGTGTTTCACTTTCGATAGCTGTTCCGCTGCCATGATATCTCTGGTTGTAACTACACGCTCGTCAGTTAGGTTTGAAATGAAAACAACGACAATAATGTTATATTTCTGACCCGAGTTAGGAATTGTTACTTCACAGAAATTTGATATATTTGATAAATCGCGATTTCACTATAGTAGACCTATATATTTTTCTTTCGACATGAATCGTAGACACTAATTCAAATTGTCATTTCTGGGATTTTATCCAGATATTTTTATCCGTGTCTGTGTATTGAAATTATTATGGCTTATGTGTGAGAAAACTTGTCACATACTCGCATTGCTCTAGGCGCAAGGCTCTTTCTAGAACCTAAATGTAAACTAAATTCTCTTGCTGAAGTGCACTGGAGCGAAATCAGCAGACACACAAAGAACAGAACATATACCTACATATCAGACGGTCTCACTTCTTGTGACCACGTAAACTTGAGACGATATTGCTAATTTCACGGAGCTGAGCCCTTCTTGAGAAGCCGCTAGTTGTGCAGCTACTCAGAATTTCCCAGAATTTTATGGAACCCGAAGGTTCATTACCGGGTTCACAAGAGCCCTGTACTGGTCCCTATCCTGAGCCACATCAATCCAGTCCATACCAGCCCATCCAATCTCACTAAGATTTATTTTAATATTATCCACCCACTTACGTCTTGGTCTTCCTAGTGTCTTCTTTCTTGATGGCATTCCCACCAGTATCCTATATATATATATATATATATATATATATATTCCTCTTCTCCCCCATTCGTGCTACATGCCCTGTGCATCTCATCCTGCTTGACTTGATCAATTTAATTATACCTGAGACGATACTGTGTCTCAATTAGGGTATCTCGTAAGGATACAGAGCATGTTGCTAAAATTTTATAAAGTAAACGGAAAAGTATAAGTAATCTTAAAGTTCAAAATTTTTGGAACACTAAAAGAATGTCATAAAATTGTTTCATACCGGTTAAGATTATACAGAGTAATTCCAAATTATTGTCGGTGTTTCCGTGGCCTGTAAACGGAAACACCGACGATAATTTAGAATCACTTTGTACACAAGGGATATATGCACCTACTATATGTATACGTCGGAAAAGCCTTATAATACGGAACACGTTCTAGAAGCATAAACCTTCAGAATAAGGCTTGCAGAAAAAACTGAATATGAACGATTTAAGAAAAAGACAAAATTTAGAACCCGCTGAAGTGCGTTTTCTGACATCAGTAGAAGAATTTGGGCTCCGAGACAAAATGAGGAATAAAGGTACTGCAGTTATAGGCGCGTCCAGAGAGGGATTACGTCTATAGATTAGTAATAAGACAATACGAGATTAGGCTTTACAAGGATCGTGATGTTAACGGACAGGAGAAACCCGAATCTCTAAGAAATTTTGAATTTTGTAGGACGCACAGAAATTTGATTCGGCAAAGTTCTGCAGGAAAAGAGCAACATGTGATTATCTACTGCTTGCCGAATTTTGGTTTCTACTCGCCAATTGAAAAGAGGGATAATCACTGAAATATTTTAACTGACGCAACTTGCCATATGCCTAATGGTTAGGTTACATTTTGTCAATTGCTAAAGTTATTTTTGTAAAAATCTCTTAAATGATTTTACCTAACACAGTTAGAGAGCTATTAGCTTTAATTTTCGTAAATAATTTAGAAGTAAACTAGAGAAAACCTATTATAGCCCTATATTTAATTTGAAATAGAAAAAAAAAAGATACGGCCCAAAAGGAAGAGACTAAGATAGAACTTCATCCAAGTAGCAAATCTGCCACATCATCATGGAGCTGAGCCCTCCTGGAAGAGCCGCCAATTCTGCAGCTACTCAAGAATTTTCCAGCATTTTATGGAACCCGAAGGTTCATTACCGTGTTCGCAAGAGCCCTCCACTGGTCCCTATCCTGAGCCAGATCAATCCAATCCATACCATCCCATCCTATCTCTCTAAGATCCATTTTAATATTGTCCACCCACCTAGGTCTTGGTCTTCCCAGTGGTCTCTTTCCTTCTGACTTTCCCACTAATATTCTATACACATTCCTCGTCTCTCCCATTCGTGCTACATGCCCTACCCCCTCATCGTCCTTGACTTGATCATTCTAATTATACTTCTAGAAGATTACAACTTATGAAGCTCCTCATTACGCAGTTTTCTCCAACCTCCTGTCACTTCATCTCTCTTCGGTCCAAATATTCTCCTCAACGCCCTATTCTCAAACACACTCAGTCTACGTTCCTTCCTTAATGTCGGAGACCAGGTTTCACACCCATACAGAACCGCAGGCAAAATTATAGTTCTGTATATTCTATTTTTTTTTTGACAGCAGACGAAAAGACAAAAGGTTCTGGACAGAATGGTAGCAAGCATTACCCGAGTTCAATCGCCTCTTAATTTCCTCCTGAATCAGGTTTCGATCTGTTATCGTTGTTCCCAAATATCTGAACTGTGCCACATTTTCAAAACATCTGTTTCCTATCTTCATATCATGATTTTGCCCTGAATTTTGGTGATTAGACAGCAACATGTACTTAGTTCTCTCTGCATTTACTGCTGCGCCAACCTCTTTACTTGCGTCAATTAAAGTTCGTGTGTTTTTCTTTATGGTATCTACATTATCACCCAGTAGATTCACATCATCGGCATAGGCCAACAGCTGATGTGTCCCGTTTCACGGAATATAAAATTGTAACGCAAACACTGCACGTCATTGAAACATACGTCACCTAGACTGCGATATTATTAACATATCGTGACAACAGAACCAATGAATGCCCCCTTCTCTTATTTTTTAATGACAGGACTAAATGCACAGTATAAAATTCATTTATGTAAAAATATCTTACTATTAAGAATTAAAATGAATATATATATATATACTCTCTTAAGGAAATATCTTACGAGTTTTAAAATAAGAGACGCCATTTAATCCAGTATGCAAATTAATATTACACAATTAAGCCTGCTCTCAAAATTCATGTGTACTTCTCAATTTGAATTTGTAACCAATGCTGACACGTGTTGAGGCATGAGAATGCCATCCTTGTCATAAATCAATAAAACAGCGCAGTAAAGATGAGAAACGCTTACATACGTCGTTTTTTTTTAATATTAATGACTTTAAAGGACGTTTTGATCAGTGCAATTGCGTACTTTGCTCTTCTCGTTACTGACAAAAGGAAACGCTAAAATCTCCCACAACAATCACCCAACGAATGAAACTCCACAACAGACAAAAGACGAACACAGAACGCGTCACAGCAACTGAATGAAAACAAGGAATAAGAGTATCTGTTTTCCGCCATATTGGTATTTAGCCAACGCTCCTCCCATTTGTGTTTCCTATTGGTAGTTGCGATACCTTGTCAGGGCGGAGCTTATTCTGCAGAAGAATAATCGTGTCTTGGAAGAAGAGTTGACAACACCCAAAATGAAGTGTGGAAAACTGGAGTAGCAGGTTAGAAATCGTGTCCACAAGATCAAATTCTCACACTGTGAAGCCTCACATAGACAAACGAGGTCAGCCTTCTTGGACACTGAATATTCTGCAGGATTAGATACACACACAGGCATCCATGTTTATGCAGTAAAATATTACCTATAACATATTTGTGTTACACTCCATATTTGTTTATAAATTGGCCAAAGTAACAGTCAGGAGAACCCGTTCTCAACCACCCTGCATCCCCCAAAACACACGTCCAAACGGAAAGAATGAACGAAAAAGACTTCTTTCACCCAAGCGTCAAAACCCTCCCATTTTAACGCCTTTGACCCCCACCACCGGGCTTCCCACTTCTCCCCACCTTCATAACTCCGCCCATTCTACGGAAAGAGAGAATGGGATGGTGAGCTCCGATGTGTGAGACAAGGAGAGAGTGCTATTCTGGTCCCAGTCACGGGAGGACCTGTGTACTAGCCGACGCGCAGCGCGCGCACATGGGCTCACCCCTTCACCCCTCCACGGAGTGGACACCCAGTGCTGCGGGAGTGAGACAGAAGATGCAGAGAGTGTATATGTGTGCCCACTCCCCCTGATACCCCTGCCTCCTCATAACTTGCGCTCCTCTTTGGGACGACACCAAACCTCTTCCCCTCCGCGGCAGGTCAGACTTCCCTCTCTAACTTTGCTACGAGGGATGATATATAGAGCTCTGGACTTAACGTTTAAATCGCGTTGGGAAGTCGACAAGATTAGGCTGGTGTAGCCCTTTTCCTGGGTGGTGGTAGCTTGCTAACTTCGAAGCTCTTCTGTCGGACCTTGAAGGGGGGTTTCTCTTGCCCGTGTTTAATGATAACGCTCGCAGCAGTTGCCGCCGTAGTGGTATAGGCTCCCCACTTTTAGTTGTAGTATCAGACCGGACCACGTTAGGGCTGGACTCAACCTCAAACTGACGTACCACCTTGTAGTGTGTGTGTGCGTGCGTGCGTGTGTGAGTGAGAGAGAGTGTGTGTGTGTGCGGCGATGCGGAGGGAGCGGGGATTCTGATGGTGAAAGGGGATTTTTATAATAGAGACTAAAAACCTTCTTCTAGCTGAGCTGTAAGCTGGATAAGAGATAGACTGCTACTAGTCCTAGAGGTATTGCTGTCCACGGAGGGGGGAAGTTAAGACCTATAGGCCTATATATATAAAAGACTTTACAGAGGCTTCAAGATTGCTTAAGTGGTATTATATTCTTACGAGCAAAAAAGAAGAGGTGATACAGTCGAGCGGTGTTCTCAACCCGTTAATCACGGCTATCAAGACGCGTGTGTGTGGACTTAAAACTGATAATACAGTGATGTGGTGTTGAGCGCCAAACAAGAACAGTGGCACATACACAAAGATACGGAATTTTTGTTCGTGATATCTTTTTGTTCTTGATCTTGACAACGAAGGTAGAACACACAGAAGGAACTGAAACCGGATTAAGAATAAATAGTGTAATCAGTTTAAAAATATATATATATGTATGTAAGTGCAATAATCTGAAGAGAACGGATGCGGTGTTTATAGCCTGAACTTACCAAGTGATCTCCGTGTGCAAGTGTTGATGTGTTACAGGCACGAAAGTTGCCACCACTTGACTTGTTAAACATCACTTCCAGTGTTTGAAATCAACCTCTAAATCATTTGTCACACTCTTCAGGTCTAAGTGAAGATTACTTAACAAATTTTAAACACTTTCCTATAAAATTGAACATAAAATTGTTTGAAAAGTTCTTATGGTTTAACAACGCCCAGAGACATAGACATACGTCAGAAAACTTCTCACCAACACAGCCACACCAGAAGGTAAAGGTATTTATGCCACAATGATATTACAGAAATCTGGTCTAGGTTACGGTGTGTTGTTCGCAGCGAGGTTTAGCTTCCTCTCTGAGAGTTTTGCAACTGAAGTGGGGTACAGCTTCACGTTACAGGCCATAAAAGGAGCACAGCTCGTTTGAGCATTTAAACCCGGACATTAGTTCAAATCCCACAATTAATCTGCAGGCTAAAAAAACTTCAGTCTCGGCCATAGCAGGCAGTTGCTTGTTTGAACGACAAATCCAGGACTTCTAGGACTTTCAACATCTACACACAAAATCCTCTATCCAAAACACACACGCACACACGCACAAACACTGTCACACAGAGGGTGAGGTGTATATAAAAACACGTGTAGTGAAAAAGGGGGCGGGGTTGGAAAAAAGAGGAATCCCTCTAGTGGAACGACCACTGCAACAGTGTAACGGCACACGAGGAGAGGGTTAAGGGGGGAAGGGGTGCACTGGGAGAATGAGTACCCCCAAACCCTCTCTCTAGCTCTTGTGGGCTTTACTGGAGCTTTCGTGTCTAAAGCCCAGGGCTTCAACGAGGTAGGCTATAGTGTGCCGAACATGAGCTGCTTCGCCGGTAACCAACCGAGGGCTTAACCGACACATACCCGCCACAGAAAAAAGCTTTACACATTATCCCCACGGAAAGCCCTTTTTAAGCTCTTTTTATACTACCCCTCACCCCGTGGTTGTCTTTTTAAAAAGTTTTACCGCGAAATAACAATATTGAGTTTTAATACTTCAATACGTTCTTTCCTAAGGTCTGAGTGATTTTTTTCTAACGCGGAACAGTTCAGCTTTTCTACCTGTTCTTTCGTTTTAACGTCTCTCGCAGGGGGATTTCATTTAAGTGACAGGATTACATGAAAAATCGTGGCTTAGAAGACGATCGTTTTTTCGCGTGTAGAACTTCCTGAGCTACTTGGTGATAAAGAATGAAGAGTCTCTAAGCTTAGTCTATATCGTGACGACTGTTCGAATTTTATTTGAATAATGATGAATCTCATTTGTGTAATAATTTTTAGGTGTGCAACAAGTACATTTAAAAAATAAACGTAAACATTTATTGTAAGCGTTATAACTATTGACGCCTGTCTTGTACTAGCGTAAGTTAATTGTATTGGAATTTCCGCAGAGGACCCGACAGCACCGCGCGGATCTGCAGACCGCATAACTACGAGTCATGTGCTGCACGAGTGCAAGTCCATAGGCCGGGTGTGCGAACTCTCTCAGATGATGGAAAGGATGGAATCCTTAACGGACACGGGGCTGTGTCTTCAGGACCTTGTGTCCGGTGTGGCCACCTCGTCCTCTGCGACAAGTGGCAGCAGTGAATCATCAGCAGCGCACAATCACCACCAACACACGAATCATCATCATCACCACGCGGCAGGTCACGAGGCTGTCGTGCCCGTCAGCGCTGTTTCGGTGTCCTCGGCAGCTGCAGGCATCATGTCGGCGGGAAGCGCCGTGCTGGGCCTCAACCACCACCATCATGTGTCCGCCGCGGTGCATGACAGCGTCAGCCACCACCACGTCCCGTGTGCACCCACGGTGCTGCACCACGAGCCGCTGGAGAAGCTGAAGCGGGGTGAGTAAACTTCTGCAACTTCTGCAACTTCTGCAACTTCTGCAACTTCTGCAACTCACAGGCCGCTGTTCCCTTCACCCGTCCTCCTTGTCTGCTGTTTCATTCTGGCCGGGTGGTCTAAGGCGCCCGAACATCAATATCATGGGTTTCAATCCCACTAGGTGCATGGATCTATTATCCAAAGTTTCATCTTCGTTTGTGCTGTCAAGTGTAGGCAGACGCCTGGCAATAAGTCCATCCCTAGCCCAAGGATCGTTTCGTAGTTCTGAATCGGTAAACCCTTCTCGGGTTACTAGCCGTGTCACTTCGTTAAAAATAGTCTGATCAGACCCTGGTGACGCAGATGGCCTCCGAAACGTCTGTAGTTTTTATCCAGTTGACACAATTGATTGCCCGAGAAGATTTTAGCAGCTTCAGCTGCCGTGAGAACTTCAGGTCTTATAATTCTGAAATGGAACAGGTCGGAGGGCCTATGTGTCAAGACTGAAAAATAATAATTAATTGACGCTTCTTCAATCGGCTGTTTTGTGGAATCTAGATTTGAGTCAACGTGAAAAAGAAGTCAATTTTCTCCTGAAGTCCAAAATTTTAAATTAACACAGATGAAATTCTTTTGCCGGAAAATTAGAAGTGAAGATACCGCTTGTAAGACCTAGGCGTAGATGGAAGTACAGGTCCTACTGTTATCTTCGCTGTTTGCATCCTGTTGTGTTCGTGATTGACGGTATGTGTCCGTCATGATGACAATAAAAACAAATCAATTGAACTGTTCACATTGGTTTTATTTGGTCGTTATTACAAGATTCGGTCCGCAATTGGGACCATCTTGAGGCAGTCTAGCAAACAAATTCCTTGTCACTGAACTGTCCTGATGCGGATCCATATTAGCGCTACTCATCACAGTCATATGCAACCTTCACGAAATTGCAAAATTTTTTTAGAATTATTTTTTAATTTAAAATTTAATTTTAATTATTTAAAAATCTATTGTCGTTGAATGTACAATTCTATTTTGTTTTGTGTGTTTTTCCCGTACTGTAGGTTGTCCTTCCGGGGTTCGTTTTAACAATATCTTGAAGTAAATTACCACGTGTATTACTGTCAAAATTTGGGTTATTTATTATTTGTATGTTACGTGCTATAAGCTACTTACACGCTATACAAGCTACTAAGACAACGCCGTTACTGCCACCGTACCTATCTTTATTACGTAAGCATGCGAAGTAGAGTGAGCTAATTCAGCGCAGGGCACAGCGGCCGAACGCTGTGAGAGCCTTCCTGCCGCCTGGGCTGCTACAGAGGCACAGTAGGCCTACGCTTGTAGAAAGAGTTCACCATCTCGCGTTTCTGATAACATGAACATAGTCCTTCACATACTCATACATAGCAAAACATGAAGCAGACTGCTCCTTGAGAAGTTTGAGAGTCGAAAAGCTAATAAAAAATCCCCCGCATTTGTGGGTCTCGAAATTCTTCATAGTGCACACAATAACCCTTCACTGCACCTTATTCTGAGCCACCTGAATTCAATCAAGGTCTTCATTCTCACATTTCGCTGTTACTCTTCTCTGCGGGCCTCTCTCTCTCTCTCTCTCTCTCTCTCAAGCGGTATATTTTATAAGACGCCCCAACTAAAATACGGAGGAAGCAAAATTAATTAAAACGTCATTAAAAAAATAATAGGCTGAATTTAAAGCAAATTAATAGGCTACATCATTAAAGAATAGAAAGTCATGCAGAATTCCTACAATGGGTATTTGTTGTACGTTAGAAAGAGAAAGTTGAGAATCATTGCATCAATATACAGGAGAAGCATAGCAACATGCTGCCGGTCACAGTGACCCCGCGGTCTAAGGCATGAACCGTCTTCGCTTACTCGAACGCTAGCAATAAAAAAAGAATATTAGACACATAACGACATATTCCTTTCTCAGAATAGACTAGGACCCTAGTCCTTGTTTATATACTATTTCACAAGCGCTGATTCATGTATTTATCTCTGCTCCCCTTCGTTTTTATTATTTTCATGTATCTCTTTCATACTTTTATTTGCAACTCTTTGCTCTCTGTTATAACAGAGACTTAATTTACACATTTGTAATTTGGATGGCCCAGCTTCAAATTTAGAACAACTGCTTTTGTATTTAAGTGAAGAGAACACGAGATGCACTAACACAAGAAAATATCTATAAATCGCGTTGTATCAAGACGTGCAACGCTAGAGACAGGAACTGAATTACAAGGAACGCGGTAAATACTGATCACAGGTGCTTCCCGTACCTTACATATAAATAGACAAAGACTTGATACTATATCACAGTGCGGTAGGCCTAACGTTGTCTTAGATGGAGCGGGCCGATATCGACTGGATTGATCTGAACGAGGATAAACGTGTGCAGGGCTCTCGTGAACACAGCAATGAACATTCGGGGACTGGGGCTTCTCAACATGAGCTCAGTTCCAATGAATTACTCAATTAGGCCTGATGCTGAAAGCGGAGCATTTGGGTTCTCTGGGAGATGTTCATTCGTTCGTTCATGTTTCCTTCTGCTCCTACTGAGTGCATAGGCCACCCGTGAAACGCTCCCTTCCATTTCAGTTTCCAGTCCTAAAACATGGGTGTCATTCCTACATACAGAACAACACAAACACAAAATAAACGTAGTGAGATATCCATGCCTCGAGTGGGATTCGAGCCCATGATCCCTGCTTTCGAGCGAGCGAAGACAGTTCATGCCTTAGACCGCGCGGCTACTGTGACCAGCCTCTAGTAGATATACGTTAGGCTAACTGGTCAGACAAGATACAATTTCTAACGACCATCGAATGTCGATAGCAGGCGATTATGTAAATTCAGATAAGCAAAACGACAAGCATAATAAGTGACCTGAGAATCATAACACAAAGGTAGAAAAAAATAGCTAAATTTCTATTAGAATGGCAGAAACTGCGATATTAAAAATGGTCCAGAAAAACTGTGTAAGCTCTGAATATAAATCTGTCGTTAGCTTCTGAGAAATAAATATTAACATTCCTTCAATAATTATACTGCCTAGGAATTGTATACTATTTAATTTATTTTCCATTTTCACGCCGGTTAATATCGTACACTAATTAGAGTATAAGACTGTGCTCAATCTTTAATTTGTATTACTGAAATATTTCATTTTTATTCATTTTGTTTGAAGGTAGCCGAATAATTATCTTTAGTCTATAGCTCGATATTTGACATTTCAGTTTTTGAACCTAAGACCCCTTCTTCAGACTACGCGCCTTATATTCTCGGGTCGATTTTCGTTCAGAATTCATTCTAAAACTTTGCATTATTCGATCCCTTAGAACTGAGTCCGATAAATCCGAGGGCCTTTCTGTGCATAGGAAAACTGAAAGGGAAAATGTAGACACACTCTCATTCTTTGAGCTGGATTCAAACCCGATACCTCAGAGTCTGAGCGGTTAAAAACCACGTGCTCCCTAAACTGGGTAGCACTAAAATCCGACTATATTTATTTATTTGTTTATTTATGGATATATTGGAGACACTCGAGTAGTGATAGCCCCAATGACAGTTTTAGAAATGGAAAACAGTAGACCTTTGGGAACCGGGCAGTAACACACAGGTTAAATAGTGAAGATTTGACTGTAGCGAACAACTGCATCTTTTGAGATGCCCTTCCAAGTGCAGATGTCGAGCGGGTATTTCAGAACACTAAGAGTTTCACGAAATTAAGCGCATACTCGTATATCTAAATAAAGATCTGAAGTTAAGTAGTTGCAGCAATGTTACCACGAAATCGTCATTGACCATTACAAATTACACTGAGTTAAACAAGAGTTCCGAGGCACAGAAAGACTTTCGGCTGAAGAGGAAGTCACGGATGGAACAATGCAGAAGTAGCGTTACACTGCTCAAACCAAGATCTCATTTCAGCCAGATTCACTTACAGAAAAATTCTAGAAATATATCTTTTACATTTATAATAAAGAGTCGATAAGAGCCACTTCATGATGAAGAAATAGACTGGCAGTTCAACGCTTTCCTTTTTCAGACTGCGATGATAACAGTTTATATATAATACGACTGATATAACCCTACTAATTTAGGCCTAATTTGTACCTTACAAAACAATGGAGGCCCCAGGGGAACAGGAGAATTATCTAAACTGAATGTACTCAGTGAGGTACCTCTGTTCATTTACACAGACGTTACTGGAGGATATAAATACACATACCGCAAAGAAAAGCGGGGAATGTACGCTACAAGACAGCAAAGAAATTAGTCTGCAAGTGAATGTTGACGAAACTAAACAGGGGCTTGTTTCATGTGTGAAAACCTAAGAACCTAGGACTAATAATAGTAGATATGAAGCTCATGGTTAAATGAAAAGCATGAGACTTTCTAGAAATACTTTTTTGTTCAGTTCTGGTAAACAATGTTGCATTTTTCAGGATCCTCAATTCCACTTTTTCACGCATCCATCCTACGTAATCTGCAGAATCTTCAATAAATGTGTACGTTCGGTGGGTAATGGCGCGTGGCGTGATGATATACTCGTCTTTCTTTGTTTCTTTGTTCATGTAGGTATCATTTTAATTCTTGTATTGGGGTTTTACTCCGTTCTGTCTGGTAGAGTTAGGACGGTGTATCTTTTCAGTCTCTGTGTAGTTTCGCTATTGTCTAGTAGGTTCACTGTTAGTGCATCAGTGTGGTTTTCTAATCTGCTTAAGTATTTTGTATCCCACTTTTTCATTTCACGGAGCTCTGTGTAGATCTTCATGGATCCTGTGTTTGTTTATGTACCAAGTTCCGTTCCAAAATATGTACAAAAAATAATTGAGCATCTGTTCTACGTGGGACATTTAATGACTTAAATTGCCTGCAATGGCATACGAAGCTGTTGGAAAGAAATCTGGACCTACTAAGGACGAAATAGACTCAAATGGGAAGTTGAGGACACGGCTGGATGTGTTTACATGACAAGAAACTGCGTGGTATTTCC